GACAATGGAAAGGCACTATGTCAAAAATCACTTTGATAAACAAAAAAATACAAAAACATATATATATATATATACACACACTGAAACAAGTTAACCCCATTAAGTTATACAATAAAATATAAGCCCAAAGAATGTCCCCAACAGCAAGGATGTTTGTAGTAAGAAGTTTCCAAGAAACGTCATCTATTCCCGCATTGCAACCCTATGAGGAACCTGATCTGTTGGGGAAAACAGGAAACGAAGAGTACCAAACAAAGAACAAGAAAATTGAAATTCGCAAGGAAGGCCAACACATTTGGTTTTTACCAACGCCCCACCGTGCTCAGCAGAACACCAATCGTGAGACACGGTGGGAACATAGCGGCATTACCATGGCAAGGTGGTGAATGGGAAGGCAACGTCCAGCGTGCAACATAGCACGTCGACGTGCATCGAGTGTCCCTAACCCCACATCTAAATTGCATAGAAGAGCTGGGTCTCCATTCTTTCCTAACAGCTCTGATTGATTGAAGGTACACTTGACAAAACCAATCCACTTCAAAGTCCTGTTCAATACAACTCTGCCCGCAAAATCCGAGAGACTTCACGCAAAGGAAGCTAGTTGTCATGTCAGCTGGCTAGCGCTTAGCCTTGTCTCAAAAAGCTGAAAGGAGCCGAGGACACAGAGTCGTTGCGCAAAGCCTTTGGGATTTCTGCAAAACGGAAAGCCCCACCTTCACAAGCTCCTGAAGACTGCGGCGCTCCTCAGGCTGTCCCAATGACCAGCCTGGAAGAGCAAAAATGGAGAAACTTTCAGTCCCCAAAACATGTTTTTTCGATACAGTGCACATCATTACAGTGACACAATTGTGACATGAACATTTCCTGAAAGAAAAGTAAAAATACTGCATCATGTTGCACTTGCCTTACCTTCCAAGAGTTTACCTCCTGTCAAACATTGAAGGGGAAAACAGTCCCAAAATGTCCAAATTGCTTCACGTCACACAAACAGCGCCGTTCTGCCGAAGGCTCACACTGCAGAATGTTTTCTCAGAGACCTCATATCAGCAAATGCTCCCAGATTCCAGATTCACATGAAACGTTTGTTGAAATCAGTCCATGAATCAAATTCCTTCTGAGTGATGCACCGTCTGCTCCTGCAAAGTAGCAGAAAGGAACGCATTGCCAGAAATTTGCCAAAAATCCAAAAAGATCCTCAGGATCCGTCCCCCCGTCTGCCTGCAACAGCGCCCGTGTCCTTCTGCTCCTTCTTCTCTTCTCCGTTCCGAGCTTCTGCAGCTTCAGCTGTCTCCGGTTCAGTTTCAGGTTCCTCCCGCTGCTGCTCCGCACAAACGTCAATCTTCTGCATGTCGCCTGCTGGCTCCTTCGGATGAGCTGCGATTTTGCACGTGAAGCAGATCAAAATTCCGGCAGCTAGGTGTTTTTTTTGAAGTTTGAAGAGCCACCAGAAGCATTTGAAGGACTAGGAACGAAGCCGAACATCTTATCTAGTTGGTACTTTCAAGCCTTTCCAAAATATCCCAACCGTCAACTGGGGATTGACGTCTTTCCCAATCTTGGGAAGATAAAAAGTAAATGATTTGCCACCACCAGGCGTTACAAAGGTACCGTGCTTTTTGGAGGGGTAACACATATGTTGGCCTCCCAAAAAGCCGGGACCCTTTGAAACCCCTGGCAACCAGTTCTTCTTTCCTCAAGAGCGCCCCTCCAGCGCCTGCACCTTCTTTGCCTCTGGTGCCGCCGGGGCCGAGGATGCTGGCCTTGAGATCACCTGCAGCGAAGGTTCAGCAGTGAGGCATAGCGATGGAAAAAACCTACGTGGTTTTGACAAGGTTTAACTACAAAAAAAGGTTGTGAAGTCAGTCATTGTCAAAGTTAACCATCTAAAAGGATCATGAAATACCAGGTTTTTGCAGGTGAAGGGTGCCCACATTTAGTGAGTCCTTCACTCTCCTGCTGTTCAACCTCATGGTGCATCTGGTCGGTAAATCTTGACCAAAAGCAATGCTATCTCTCGGGCTCTATGTCATGGGCAAAACATACAAAAAAAAAACACGGTAAGATGAGAGAGCACCATCAGGATGTTGAGCAACAACATGTTTAGCTGAACAGCTTTCCCCAAAATGGCCGGGTTTTGACATCTTTGGACCCAGGACCCAGCGCTGTTTCTGTCACTTGGCCTCTTCCTCCTTTTCTGGAGCTTTCACAACTCAGGAGAAATGCAGGCGTGGTGAGCAAAAGTTTACGACTTTAGGTACATCCAGAAATACTTTTTTTAATAGTATCTATCTTATATAACCTGCAGCATATCCGCATATCCTATATCTCTTCACGTTGATTGTCAAATTGTCAACCTCAATGACCTATCGGACCTATCAGCAAGTCGCTCAGCCCGCGAGGACGAAGACGTTGGTTTACTGCAGAACCAAAAGCTAAGATTAACTGCAAAAAAGGAATTGGAGTGTACCAGAATGGTTTTTGTCAACATTGCTTGCTCTCTCCCCCCAAAAAAATCGTTCCTCAACAAACTCTATTCACATTCTTGTGAGAAACATGTGGTCCCAATGGATCCCAATAGTTTTGGGCTTTAAAAAACCTCCACCCCTGGAAAAAACCAGAAAGAATTACCTTCAGCCAAGCTACGCATGAGCAAGTTCTCCCTCTCATTCCACGGAAGCGTCTTCAAGGACTGTTGATCCCAACGGTGTGTCATCAGAAGCGCCAACAGAAAGACCTTCGGCGGCTTGAGACTGCCATGCTCTTCGTCATCTCACACGTCTTGCACATCTACTATAGTAACATCTAGCAACAAGTAAAAAAAAGGCCACTGGTTTGGACATGTCAGGTCTATCCTGTCGCAGCTCTCAAATATGTCATGAGCAGCAATAATTCACAAACGGTTCTGGGTTCGCAAAATGCCGACGGGCCGCATGGGGAACATTTTGTCCATCCCATAACAACGCAGAGCCACTTCCAAAACAAACAACTCACTGTGATGTGCGACCAATTACTATACCTTGTATCGCGTGCCCCTCAAAAAACACCGTCCAAATATGTGTAGACCCAGCAAGATGGTCGGAAAACCCTTCCATTCCAAAACATTATGTTTGGCCTATCGGCCGAGCATGCTGGAAAGGGCTCCATCCATCCCAACAGACCTTTCAAAAAGTCCTCCGATCGGCGTCTGCTCTGCGAGTGGCTAGAGCAGAGAGAAAGGTCACCACAGCAGCAGGACGTTGAAGCCATTCCGGTTGTGCCATTTTCTTCAAGGCCTCCAGGTTCACCAGTGACGAAAGGGTACCTTGGAGCGGATTTTGGAGCGGAGATCATGGAAGCTTGGGCTGCCAGTCGATTGGAAGTGACAAAGCAACAATGTTGACACTTCTCTGAGCTTCTCACCCTAACTCTCTGCGGAAAGATGAATGTTTATTTCTAGTCACTTGACGAAACAAACATGGAAAGCAATCCACTCATCACAGCAGCATCAAACCGTGGCTGTCGCTGTTGAAATAAACTGCGGAGAAGCTACTGCAGCTAAGCGCAAGCTGCACGTTACGCCTGTGGCTGAAAAGGGAGAACATGTGCAGCTTGCGGTGCGACTTTTCTCAAAGATTTCTTTGTACTTTCTCCAGCCAACCGCTTTGAAGAATCTCGCTTTCAGTCATAACTTTGAACAAAATAAAAAGCTTCTGCACAGCAACTTCGCACAGTTCGTTTTTAAAATAACGTTCGTTTAAGTAAAGGGGCACCAGCTACCCAACATTAATGTTGTTGATAGAAGGGTTTTAGTAGTTTTTCTGTTATTTTTTCTAGTCCTTTCAACACAAAATAGTAAATCAACATTCAACTAAAACATCTTCAAACCAGGTAAAACCCAAGGTCTTCCCAAAGGTTTTGATCCACAAAAAGAATCTGCCCTAGAAATGTGAACTGCGGAGCTTATACAGGGAGTTGATCCCAGACAGCTGCATCCAAGCTTCAGGATCACGTCCACAATGCCACCGAAGATCGACAAATGCGTCGTGCTACACTCGAGGAATCCGGGCACCTCCAGCAGATCCGAGCAGATCCGTCAGGGGCCAAGTTGTTTGGGGCTGAAAGTCTTCTGGGCATCAAAAATATCCAGAAATATCCTAAGTGCCGGGGTTTGAGTTGGAAATGAGGCAGCAAAAGCCTTTGTGGTTGCATGAGGTACTCAAGGTCACAGTACCAAGATGACCAGGAAGAAGTTGGGGTCCAAACTCAAAGTAGCCAACACACTCTAAAGTCTGCGTTGCCAAGCCATAGCAATCCGAGGCACCTTGGACAGTGTCTCGACTCCTTCGGAGGACCATTGCACAGCTTCTTCATCCCAGAAGGCGCAAGTAGCGTTGGGGTCATCCTCAAGGGAAGAGATCTGGAAGCCAGATGGCTGTGGGTCAAAAATTCAAAGACCCGAAAAAACCCGTTTTGATTAAAAGAAACATGGACTAAACCCTGCGGGTTTTTAGGGGTTTTCCGACCCATAGCCAGATAAGCTTGGGCTACTTGACCCAGTTTGGAGTGCGCATGATTCGCCAGGGTTTCTTTTTTACAGTGCCGTAGATCTTTGCACGATTTTACAGGGAGGGTCTTGAAAAAGCTGGTGCAGCAGTTTAAACTTCTGGATGATCGGAATCTCTTATCAAACCCATGCAGGAACAAAGGAATTAGTAAGACCAGCCATGGGTTCCTTTAAATTCTTCACAGCGATCTTGGTACCTTGCCAAAGGCGACGCTCTGGCAGTCTGGCTCATCGAGCTCCGTTTGGAAAAAGACATGTAACAGTCAGGTTGTCATTCAACGAAACTCTAAAAATGAAGTGTCACCCCTTACTTTAAATTTACCAGCTATGGGAACCTTCCAAGATTCTAACAAGTACACCCAGTCACACCGTCATTCTACGAAGCTTCATTGCCATTGGATTTGCCAAGAAGAAGCCTATAAGAAACAAACAACTAAAGGCTCCGAAGAAGAAAAAAAAATAGACGACAGGTGGCCCAAAAGTATTTTATAGCGCATGTAGACAAAGAAAATGTGCAAGTTAACATGTCCAACTCACTTATAAACTTTATCTAGACTTCACACGTGCAAGTTCACATATCCAATCCATCAGCATAACATCACGTAGACTTTACACATGTGCAAGTTAACATGCCCAACTTACCAGTGTAACTTTACCTAGACTTCACATGTGCAAGTTAACATATTCAACTCATCAGCATAACATCACCTGGAAATCTTTAAATGTTTCAGACCACTGTCCTCTGGAAATCTCCGCTTCTAAACACTTAAATCTCTATAAAATCTCCACTTCTGAGCACTTTTCTCTAGAATTCTCTGCTTCTCAAGCGCTTTCTCTTAAAATCTTTACTTCTAGGCACACTTTTCTCTTAAAATCGCCACTTCTAAGCATTTTTCTTTGGAATTCTCTTCTTCTCAGAAGTTTTCTCTTAAAATCTTTACTTCTAAGCACTTTTCTACACAATAGAAGGGGGGGCTTTTGGCTCAATTATTTTTTAGCGAAAAATGAAGCGTTTGTTTTGCAAAGACTAACATGTTAATAACGCGTCAT